CGCCATTCTCCCTAGATACTAGTAGATAGTACCCTTCGATACGACATTTGGCAAGGGTCCCGTCAACAAGCATTCTGCATTCCCCAATTTGCTGCATCTCAACAATTGAAACTTATCCGAGAGCACCGTCCTCAAAGTGATATACCATGCCTACCTGCTGCGAAGAATACAGGGGAGAGATAGAGACCGCTCCAAACCCTTAGCTCACGCCCCGAGTCAACGGCCCGCCGCTCATCTACAGTACCGGTACTCTAGTCAGGAGTCGAACGGGAGAGAGAGCGCTCACCAAACAAACCGCTAGAGACCAACTGACAATTGATTCCCAGACCGCCGACTCCTAGAGTCCTAGCCCATCCCAGGCCAGAGCAGACTAGGCCAGCCGCGCCTAATCAAGACGGCCGCCCGCCCCTCTCCTCCACCCACAGACCCGATCTTTGGCGGCGTTGAGGTCGAGCCAGCGCGCTAACCGACCTAGAAGGTCAATCCACTGGACGACGCTTGCACAGGAAGGGCTTAAAAGGGTGTGGTCTCCTGTAGTAGGGGGGCTCAGGGGGGTTGGTGGTTGGAGATGCGCTAGAGTGCAATCTGGCGATTCCCGTGAAGATCCTCGCAAGCCCGCCCTTGCATCTCGTCGTCTGTCCCCAATCGAGCCAGACCTGCGGAAAAGGTGGAATTGCTTCTTCTGCCCGGACTCGGACCTCTCCCGAGTCTCAAGAACTCAAAGATGATTCTCCTGAGACATCAGGCCCAAGGTGAAGAAGAACCGGACGACTGCCGAGCAAGCGGTGGTCGATCCCGGCAAGTTCCTTGCTTTCTAGCTATCTGAACCTGACAATAGTTCTTCTGTACCGGAAACCCACCGTCATTGTCACTGCCATGACCCGGCTGCGTAGACGGCTTGGACGAGAGAAACGGCACAGAGGCGGGACGGATGTCTTGCCAGGGTCCCTTTTGCCTTATTTGAACGCGGCATGGCTGAGGATCGCCCTGACGACATGCAGTTCGTGACGAAAAAGCATCTTAATACCCGTAGAATAGCAACAAGAGCCACACATACACACACAGACAAGATAGACAAGACAGATAAACACGGCTCGCAGCAGTTAGACGGTAGCAGGTCAAAAGCTGCGGATGCTTGGGCCATCTCATCACATGCGCTTTCGGCATCCTGCCTTGCAATTGCTTCTTGGCGACGGAATCAGCCATCTCGCGGTCCTCAAGTAAAAGCAGGTCTGCAGAATCGTGTACCTTGCCTCCTTTTAAGACCTATGTAGCTCATCGACCAAGAAAATTCGTCGAACGGCAACCAACAAGTTCTGAGAACAAATGTCGCGACGTGACATTTGCGGCTGTCTGCATCCACACCCGTTGATTTCCCCATCCAGTAGCATCCATCGCCTCGGAGATTTTCAGGTTCTGGAGCGGCATAACCTTGGTAATTAAGACGCAATGCCTTCGCGAATCACAGACCACCCTCTGCGAATGTCACCCACTTGCCATGGCATGGCATGGCATGGCATTGAACGCGCTCTCCTCCAACTTGGAGCTCCTTGGACGAGACAGCATCTTGTAGAGCAGCGCCCGCCACGGATTGCCAGCCACGCAGGAAATCCGCAGAGGATCGAAGTGGCGGGCGGCGTGGAGAGAAGGATTCCCCGTCTTCTCGAAGCATGCCCACCAACATTGTCCTCAGGGCGGCTAATCGCGCGCGCTGCTTTGCCCCAGACATGTGCAGTGCATCATCATAGCGCGGCGCTTCATCCCCGGGCGTCTGTTCTCACGCAATGGATGTTCGTGTTCGTAGACGGCCTCTTCCCTGCTCTCCTTCCCTTTTCGGTTGAAAATAGGGCCTGCCACCGATGTTATGCCATCACGCACATTCCGAAATATCCCTTTTCACCCCCTCAGGTGGACGCACTCTGCAAACATCCCACGGCAGTAATAACAGCCCCCCATTAAGAGCGACAGGCCACTGGGGTTTGGACGTCAAACAGATACCGACATGTTTCACCTCGACGGTTCCTCGCCAGGACTTGGCGTCTTGACTGGCAGGCAAGCATCGCCTGCCGGAAATGGCCGTCCGGAGAATTTCCAAGGCCTACTGTAGGAAGAGGAATGACATATAGCCACCCTGCACTAATGATATGCTTTGCAGGGTCCTGAATCATTTTCTCCAGGAGAATGCCAACTGTCACCGGGGCAGTGGTGTATGTACATCAAGTTACTTAGAGTTGTTGTCATCAAAAGGAGGTAAGTACTACCCTCCGACCATATTTTTTAGGTACCTATGTTTAAAAGGAAGAAAAATCCATATGCCAGTGGTAGCAAGTGTCCTTATGAGGCCCTCTCAGGCCACACCGTTATGCTTTTTGAATGACGAAGCCACAAAAGGAAAGTTACTCCTGTCCTGCCACCGAGCGATCAAGCCTGGCGACCAGGAAGATTATATAGACAGTATTTGTTGATACACACGCCTATGCGCCGACTCTGACAGAGACACCCCGTCCAAAAATCCATGAAAGTCTAACACATGCCAGCCAGCACTGCCTGCCGTTGCCCTGCCCTTTGCTCTAGTTTCCTCAGATGCTCATGCGTTGCCGTTTGTGAGCGACAACCCATTTGCCTTCTTGCCATTTCCATTGACGACTCGGTCCTCGGCGCCGTCGGCTGTGAGCTTATCGAAATGTCGATTAACAATGTTGAAGGCTGCCTCACGCGTGCCTTGAGCCCACTTGTCCAGTTGACTCTTCTCCACATACTTTCGAAGGACAGAATCCTCCCACTGCATCGCATCAAGAAGCTTCTCGCGGAAATTCTCCTCCATTTCGTTGAATCGACGATCAAGCCGATCAGTGTAAACTCCGACTGCGTCGGATGGCCTCAAAATGAAGCTGATATTATCTCCAGAAAGTCGTTCTGTATTGTGTGGTCAGTTATCGTAGACCGTTTTTTATGTAAAAAAAGAAGGGGAAGTGAAGGGGGTGTGTCTGGCTTACCCAAAACAAAGCAAGCGTACATCGTATGGTACGCACGTGTAACTTCAAGAGCTCGGAGGACGGCGAGGTCACCTTGGCTCTCTGTGTTGTTGATCTTCGACCAATCGTTCCGCGTGAAACATCGCCTCCAGATTAGTCGCTGTGCATCTATGAGCTCATCTCCCTTCAGGCTGCAATGGGCGACGCGAAGAGCGAGGAAGAATTGGTCAGACTCCGTATCAGACGGATCACCATCACCTAGCTCTAGCAGAGTCAGGAGATCGATGAGCGCGAATGGATCTAAAGCCTCATGTTTGAGGAGTCTGCTGAGGCTGTTCTCAATCAGTTGATGCAGGGCCTTGTGCTTCTTCGGGATCTTATCATGAGTTTGCACGGCAAGCATCAACTCGGCAGCCTCATCGACAGCATTACTGATTGATGGGAAGATGAATCCGTAGAGCTGGTCCTGAATATCGATGACGTCGAGCTCGCGCTGAACTCTGATGAGTTTCTCGTCTCTTGCAGCGCCATCCGTGAGGTCCTTCGACTTCGCTTCGGTGGAGTCGTCACCAGCTCCTTCGGCCATGAGAGCCAGTTTGCCCAGGCTTAGCTCAATCTTCTTGTTCCAGACTTGTTGCTCACGTGTCAGCCCGATATCAAGAAGGGTTTTCGCAGCATGGTCGATATCTTGCTCCCTCTCGACATCATTGATCCAGGAAATCTTGGCAAGCTCCGGCTTTTCGCGCAGAAATAGAGTAGCGTAGCCATCTTGATCGCTCGCGGAGTAGTCTAGAACCATCTGTACGCCGCCGTCACGAAGCAAGAGCTCATACGCCGGGAAGGCAAATCCCTTTCCATACTGCTTGACATATTGCGTCAAGCGATCTGTCAAGTTTGGAAGCAGTTGCTGCAGTTCTGTGACTCTTATTCTTGTTGGCCTACTTTCAAGTTCGATCTGTACTGCAAGAATTGGCTGCACAATTAGCTCTGCCATCGCCGAGAGAGAATGATGCTGTTCAGCAACAGCAATCGCATCATCCCCAAGGTTGTAGTCTTTTAGCTTGAGAATTTTATCATGGCGGTCCTGGAGGTATAGCTTGGCGCATATATCACCAACCCGGAGTACCTTCGGATCATCACTGATAGTCGCCCAGCGAGAATGTTCCTGGAGCGCAACCAGATACTGATCGGTCACATTCGGTAGGCTCTCGCGAATGCTCTCGATTAGGCCAGGATCCGGGAGGGATGACCCTACCTGAGGGGGATAGTATTGGTCCAGCCAGATATAACACAGCTCGACTAGGCGTTTGAGGTTGTTCGTGATGAAGAAGGTGGATGTCCATGGTTCTGGCAACCCCTCGTAGCCACTAACTAGTATTCCCTGTTCCATGTCCTCGTTCCCAAGTCCATAGAAGGGAAGCTTCTTCACACGATACTCTAAAGCGCCATGAAGAGTCTCATAGATCACCTGGACAGCTTCGAATAGAAATCGCGTGATGGCACGATCATCTGCAAGGCTCTCCTTGTGGAGCACCTTGATCATCTGGTATCCCCAGGGGATGAAGATTTCCAACCGCCAGACATCGTGAATAAACCAATGCCGGACGCGGTCGATTTCGCCAACTGCGGCATTCGGGTTCACCTTCTCGTCCTCGTGGATGTATTCGACTATCTCTGAGACAACACTCTTGCGGTCATTATCCAATCTATCAGCGATAAAGGACTCGTGTTGTCTCCAGATGCTTGCTGCCATGGACATCTTCTCGGCGTTCCAGAGAAGGCCCCAGCGAGCGCGCCGACTGAGCTTGATTTTGAGAGCATTGAGATGTGACATCAGTCTGTCTAGGAACATTACTCGCTGTCGCAAGTTGTATTCAAGAGACGCAGGCAGAGCAGGGAGATAGGGACTTGAGGATGCGAGTATGTCCTTAGATAGATCAAGCGCAGCCTCCTCAATCTCTCGGGTGGTAAATGGGAGCTCCCTGCGACCTTCGAATAGAAGAGGAGTGTTGTCCTTCAGGCCGAAGAAGACAGCTTGCTCTAGCTTGCTCTTTGCGGTGAGTTGAGGCGGCTTGTCGCTAGCAAATCGATCGATATCCGTGATAGCAACCCGAACAATACCAACGCCCTTGATCATAAGAAGTGCTGTTGGATTCTTGGTTTTGGCTCGGTGAGATCTCGAAGATTCAAGCTCCTGACCATATCCTTGCGGCTCTTCCATGCCCGAGCCAACGATCTCAGCAGCATCATCATCACGGAGATCTATCACATCCTCAAATGTCGCTGGGAGTGTATGATTGTCTTCCTGGAGTTGCGAGTCAGGGGAATCAGGAGCCCGAGCGATGGAGACGACTGCAACTGCGCGGTCAAAGACGACGAATGCGACCAGACCTGGTCGGGGAAGGTATAGATGTGGTCGCTCTAATGCCGTAGCATTCACAAGCCCGGAATATGAGGAGATGCTCCTGATCATGCCGACATCGATAGTTTCGGCGCGAAGGATAATCTCGACAAGAGCATAGTGTGACTGTCGTCGAATTCTGTTGCTAACGGAAACAAGAAGTAACACGTGTTGAATCGTATCGTCGTCTACTGAGATAGCCTCGCTCAACTGGCTAACATCTGTATACCTCTTCTCGATGCCTCGTGGGATAAATGTCAAGTCGAGAACTTCGAGCATGTCAGCCCCGCAGTTTGCTAATGAGGGATCTGCCTCTTTCAGAGAGTGTAGGATCGTGTCGCGAGCGTCGATACTAATTAGGTTCTCGTGATGTCCGCCCCGATGAACTCTCCACGCACGCAACATACCGCTGGAGGTAGCTGCCACCACATCCTTTGGGCCTGCTTTGGTTGATCGATCAGCTCTAACAGTAGCGAGGTCTCCAGGATGAACAGCCTGCTTGAGAGCATTTCGAATGCTCCCAAAAATACCTCCACCGTTGGGTCGGGCGAGAGAACCTCGAAGAAATTGAACAGAGATGGCCGGTTTGCCTTGACCATCCCTTACACTCAGGTGAGCTACTCGACCACTATTAAAGGCGAGTATGAACCCTGCGGGCTCAGCGCTTGTCATCTGCACTGCACGTTCTCCACTCCACATTCCTGGTATTGTGTCCTCAACACCGTTTCTTTGCTGACGAAGAAAATCGAGGGTAGCGGCGCTTGAGATGTACTCCCAAAATGTGATCCTGCCGCTAACAGGCATGACAACAACCAGTCCCGGTTCATCGCTCGCTGCTGACGGGGATACAAGGGCTCCTAGAGGTAGAGGCTCGGAAGAATGTTTTGAAGGGTATGGCAGGGTAAAGACAAAGGTCTCGGGAGACGGCGTGATAGCGGTGTACGGCCATACGAGTGCATGGGTGTGGGAGAGCGAGAGGGCATAGCCGTTGGAAGCGTAGACTGCTCCGTGTTGTCGACCTCAAGAGACGTTAGCAAAGACAGTAGAGATCACATGCGTCGTACTCACCTGCTGAATCTGCGCGGATCCTATCCGGGAGTGCAGGAAGCTTGTTGACGGTGTAGGTATTGTTGCTTGTCTGCAAGATCGAGGTTAGCTCAACAAAGGCTGTCTCAGAGGCTCCCTCAGAGGCTCCAAAGCTGGGGAGCAGCATACCAGAACTACGCTCCCGTCTCCTTTGCTCATCCTCTCGCCAGGCTTGGGCTTCTTTGACCTGACACTGAGTTCTTTCCTGACGGTGGGCGGCGGTGGGGGAGCTGGTGTTGCGTTTTCGATTCCATCCGGACGAATGCCCAGCTTGGCGATCCTGTCGGATTTGACCTCGTGCATCTCGGGTTGGACATCTGGATTAACGAAAGTCTGTTCGGTCAACGGGACCCGCTGGCGTTTGGCCTTGGGCTGCTGGACCAGACTGTCGGAGGAGAGCGGCCGCTGTCGCCGTCTGCTCCGCGTGGCCATCGCTGGCCCGCCCTCGTTGTTGAGCGACGGCGAGAACATTTTGGCTTTGGGTGGGTCGGGCGCGCAGGCGCCTTCTGCGACGGGATGGGAAGTCGAAATTCAGGAGCCTCAAAAATGCGGAGATGGATGCGGCGATGATGTTTTTGGTGGTCAAGCCATGACACGAGATGGCTGGAGGGGAGGGACGAGGGGGAGAATTGGCGATTCGATTGATTTGAGGGCGAATGGGTGAATGCGCTGTCACTCGCCTCTTTGAGAAAAGGATGGGATGGGATGGGAATGGTGGATGGATGGGGTTTAGGTAGGTTAGAGGTAGTTGCTGGTGACGATTGGGCCTAATGTTGACTTTGGTTAAAAAAATCGCCGGCTGTTACTGGCCAGTGCTTGCCAGTTGTTGCTGTGAGCTTCCACCGCGCTAGGCTAAACAAGGCGAGATCCACGTGAGTTTTTCCAGGTGGTAGGCGCTCAGGCGCTGCACGCAACCACCTAACCTGGGGGATTTTAGTGTGGGTGTGCTCCCTGACTTGAGGCGCTCAGCTGGTGCGCCTGGCTGACCTGGGGCAAAGAGTGTTTCCACCTCACCTGAGCTGCCTTCTCTGTCCATCTGTACTGCAATTTGCGATATTCACTCTCAATGTGCATCAAGCAATGCAATCACATACAAGACTGAGACTACCGCAGTTTATAATATTGCTATTTCAAGATATATACCTCCTCTAGAAATATGTTAGCATCTTCTAGAGGGCTGTTAGCTGGAGAGCTCTCTTATTAGGCGCGTAGAATTGCTAGCGACCCTCGTAGGCGGCGTGTCCCTGCCCGTCGTCGGCTAACAGTGGATACTATCTGGTGACATCACTTTTGCATGTTAGCCGCACTCAAGGCTGATATCCAGAGATATCACAGCAAAAAAGGCCGCCAAAGGCCGCCAAGGTAAATGGGATCTGCCAGTTTCATTTCCCTACAATAGACTTCAAAAGCGGACAAGTCCCTTGTTATAGCCAAGTTTCCTGGTGCCAGGAGATACTTTCAAAAGGTTCCGAAACCTGCTCGATGATTACTGGCTCACCGTAGCCTCGGCTGAGAGGGAGGATGCGGCGGATTGGGACTTCTGTTGCGATTACAGACCCCCTTGTCAAATACCAGTCCTTGATCACAACAGGGGCATGTTGCCCCGACCTGGCACAACATCGGTTGGCGCATCATTTGCAGAAGATATATCTGCGTCTCAAGGATTACAACCCGCCCACCGAGTACCGTAGCAGGCTCAAGGAAATTACTCATGCGATCGATCAAGCAAAGGAGGTGCAACGAGATGAACTCGCAGTCGAGAGCCACCCCATCCGGCGGAACCCCCTATTCGCCCGTTTCTTTGGGCGGACAGAGGGGAAGAGCACACTTGCCTTGACAAGAGTCTTGACTAGCTATCAGGGGGCTCTGCATGTCGACTCGCCAAAAGGGCTGTTTCTTTCTGGAGAAGTCGGCACGGGGAAGTCTATGCTACTAGATCTTCTCGCTGATGGACTTCCAACAAGCAAGAAACGGAGATGGCATTTCAATACCTTCATGCTCTATGCGTTCTCAAGGCTGGAGCAATTCCGGACTTCGCATCCAGAGCTCTCTCGGGATGACCGGGAATACTCCCTGCTGTGGATGGCGAAAGAGATGATAGAGACATCACCCATTCTATTTCTCGACGAATTTCAACTGCCAGATCGAGCAGCAAGCAAGATTCTAAGCAACCTATTCATTGCCTTCTTCCAATTAGGAGGCGTTCTAGTTGCTTCATCAAATCGAATGCCCGAGGAGCTCGAGAAAGCCAGTGGCTTAGACTACAGACCTCCTCCCACCGGTGGCCTGATCGCGGAAGTCCTCGGTTTACGTAGACGTAGTATGCAGGGTGAGTTATATGGACAGACTAGCGACTTTGCATCGTTTCTGGAGGTCTTGAAAGCTAGATGCGATTTCTGGCACATGGAAGGAGCCAGAGATTGGCGAAGACGTGAGTCAGACACGACCTCGCTCATCAAGGCGAAACCGAGCTCCAGCACCGCCACGGTTGGAGATGCAGACTCTAATGATGTTATCTTCAGTGCTTTCGAGATCACTCAGGACTCAGGACCAGTGGAAACTCAAAACCTGCTGCTGCAACCAGGCAGGTACGTCCTTAATTCTGATGAGGAAGAGGTGTGGAATGGAATGATATTGGATAATTTCCATAATCCAATGCTCGCATCGATCCCTTGGAAGTC